ATTTATATTTAAGAAATTTGAAATCATTTGAAAATGGATTAAAAATAATTGTGTAAAATAAACTTACTTATACTTTAGAAGACGAAGCATTTTTCACAAATAAATAAATATTTAATAAAAATCGAATTAAAAAGGAAGTAAACGCTAACACTGTAACCAACAGGGCACTCAGTATTCCGTTTGTGAGCATTGGGAATAATTTTATTTTATTAATTTTTTTCAAATAAAACCAAGGTAACACTCATTTTACATACAGCACGCAATGAAAATGACATGAATATTACAGTGGGCAAATGCATAAAGTGCAGCATAATTTGAAATCACTAGTTTAAAGTTTGTCGATCCCTGTCAGCATTCAATTTGCACGGGCCGACCGTCACCCAGAGAACACGCGATCATGCAGGATACAAATGCACACTTCATCTCAACTAGATTCGACGAAGTCTGCAAGGTTTGTGAAATTAAATGTTCATTAATCATTCAAAGATTTGTTTAAATGATATAAATGTGTCTTTGCTGAATGCTGACGGCAAACGAGAAAGTATTATAATGTTTGCCTTTCTATTACTAATAATAAAGCAATCGTTATAATACTGTTTTGTATACAATTTAATTCATTTGTTTAACAGTTCTATCTGATTATTAGATAAACTTCTATCCATATTAGAGACAACTGAACGACGACAGCGAGCAAGAGGGAGAATGTGAGCTGTGTGCGCTCAGGCGCTGTCGCTCTCAGCGCCGTCAAAATAAAAGTCAGACGTACCGCCAAAATAAAAGTTCCGCCTCTAACACATCGGCCAAGCAGAAAAACTTATCGGCCAATGCCGATATTTGAAAAAAATCCAAATATCGGCCGATATATCGGCATTGGCGATATACCGGTCGACCACTAATCAGCATAGAACTACATTTGTGTAATAGAAAAGTAATAACTGATTACATGACTTTTTGTTTCCAGAGGTGATCGATTTTCCCACCAGAGCTATCACAGCAATACAGCAATATGACCAAAGTAAGTAATCTGAAAAGCTGTAGATTTAACTGACCTATGCCCTATTCACACTAATAGCAAAATGGCAAAATGGAGCAAATCGTAAAATGCAAAACTTCACAAAGAGTGTGAAATGAATACCGGTTACCCTGAACATAAACATTTACTGGCACACTACACCTTTGCAAACCAAGTTAAAAGGAGAAAGCAAATGAATTTGACTAGTAACAGGACTCAGATCGGTTTGCTGTGTGTGGCCTAAAAGCAATTTTATTTTATTTTTTTGGTCGAATAGAAAACACAATTGACACATTTTTCTATAAAAATACATTTTCAATTTAGTCTCATTCACAGTGAATATTTGCTGTCAGTATGATTAGGCCTGGATTTGTCTTGTTTATAGAGCTGTCAGTTTTAATGTAGGGCTGGGAGATATGGAAAAAATAAAATAAAATCTTGATTTTTTTTTTTTCAGAATGTTTTAATTTTAATGTTTAAAATGTTTTAACTAGTCAACTTGAAAATGTAACTACAACATGATTCAAGTAACTTTTACTTTGTTAACCCTCTAGTTAAAGAAATTTATTTCAAGTGCACCACACATGTTGTCAGCATGATGTAAATGTTAAACAAATCACTTGTTAAATATCTTTGCAAAAAAGATGCATGAACTACATCTTCTACAAATGTATCTTATACATATTATATGTTCAGAAAGAATACAAAGAAAATGCTTTAAAAAAAAAAAATCTCAAAAGTCAAGGTAATTCAAATTCAAAATAACTGAAGGTAATAACACCAGTAGACTATCATTAACTAGGCTATAAATGTTCTGTAAAATCAATAAACAGCAGCTTTCAGCCTGTCACCATGATGCAAACATGAAATTTCAGACATACAGTAGTAGTTCTTTACAGGTTTTTATTGGATTGCGCTGCTTTTCTATGTTTGACTGTTGCGCTCGAGTCTCTTGCAGCGTCTCATGCATGAAATGGCATTCTTAAAAGCACAGCGCTAAAGTTAAAAAGTTTAAAAACTCCCATCTTCCTGCATTTTTTCTAGTCCACTGCCCGTGTCGCATCTTTGTCAACACAAAAGCTCATTCTGTGTGAATCAAGGTTATTTTCGTAAACGAAAACTAAAACTAAGATGGAAACGATTGATGAAAAAACTATTTCGTAAACTGAAATAAAAGTTTAGGTTTAGGGAAATACCTGTAAATGGCTCATTGCGCACGTGAGGTTATCTTATGCAGAGACGCAAAGCAGTTTAAAGCAGAGTCCTGCATGGGTCCTCTTTGGTAAACGTGCACCAGCAGTACTTAACAGAACACTCGACCCGTTATCCAACAGCAGCACTCATTTAATTCTGTACCAGACCAGACCCGTTTGACAAAGACTGCGAGTCGCGAACCGCACCCGCATAAAATCTATTACATCAGGTAGGCAAAATTATTTATTTTCTCATGTAACACAAGCAAGCAAACCAAAATTAGGCATTCCAAGTTGGTGCTTTGAAGAAAAACGGACACGCAGCGCAACGCAATAATTAACAGAAAAAAAAGACGAACGCACATCCTTTCTGAAAGCAATACAAAACTTTAGCATAGCATCTTGTGATCACTCTGCCAGGCTTTCAGAGAAATGTGCATAGGCTAAATCACATCATAAACACGCTTATAATTCTTAATAAATGAAAAGAACATATTCAAATATGAGCCTTAATGCGATTGCAGTTATTATTGAATTTCATTATTCCCAGTTATGATTTATGCGCAGTTGTTCACGGAAAAGTGAGCAAGACACGACAGTTACAATATAT